GCAAGTGACTGGGCAGTACGAGAGATGGTTAGGAAAAGAAGAAGCAGGAAAAGCAACTGTTTGGATCAGAGGAGTCCAGCCTTGGCAACTTTAAGTGTGGGAATTCTGGGAGTTGAAATCCACAAATTTTAAAGTTGCCAAAGTGGGACAGCCCTGGTTTAAACAATCCTTTCAGTCAGGGAATAAGAGTTATTACTTGAAATCTCTCCAATATAGACAGAACAACATTATTTCAGTATGCTGGACTTCAGCTCCAATTTCCCTCCTAGGCAGGATATGAACCAAAGTACTAAATTTTGGGAAATGAATGGAATGAAATCTTTTGCCTCCTGACTTCCAGAAATAATCATTCTTTCTAGTAATGAAAGCAAGAGGTAGGAGAAGTCTCTTGTTCCTCATTCTGGGTAAACAGCCCAGCCCTGGGTGTCTATTAGCTCAGCCTTCCCCAAACTGGTGCCCCCTCCCTCATGAACTGGGAAATTATGAAGTTCCATAATTATTGCTGGAGTAGTTTAGCTGCTAAGAAAATAGAGACGGTGAAGTAGCAGTGGAAATTATATTTCAGCATGATGAACGTCTAGAATAGCAACAATATGTAAGTGAAACTGATTAGCAGAGGAGTTAATTAAGGAAGAGACACATCAGTGTTTTACTTATGTTAAAGATCAGTATATGAACTTAGGAGGTGTTGGAAGGTCTGGGCTGGAAGTGGCACAGTTTGCATCTACTATTGAAGGTGATACATTCTGCAAACATTCTGGCACTTTAACTATATTGTAAAAACAAGTTTTCCCTTTCAATTTTCTCCCAGAAGACATGTTTTCCCCAAGATGCTTCTGGCCAGGAGCAGACTAAAGCTGCAGATTTATCTAGTGACACACTGCTGTGCTTCTTGCATTATGTAGGCTCCTTCTGCTTTTACAAGGAGGAAGGAGAGCAGCCAGTACAGTTAAAAAGCCTTCAAAGTCATTTTCAAGGAAACTTATAAATTCTTTGGCTTGTCCCTGTCTGTCAGGGAACACCAAATGCTTCGTATTTATTGCCAGGATATGCCCCCAAACCCTACAGCCATCAGATTTTATGGTTTCCTGAGATAGGCAGGCAAAGACATCCTTTTGTATCTATACTCAAAAGGAAACTTCACACCATCTTCTTATTGATGTCCATGCTGTAAAGTTACAATGCACAGATAGCATATAGAATCTAGATGCAATTGTGAATTGCTAGAATGCGACTAGCACAAAGCAAGAAGATTTAAATGCCTATCTATTCTAGAAATGCTTGGGCAGCCTTGGGCCAGGAACTAAGAGAACTGTGGTTAGTGATGCTATTGTTTCAAGCAGAAGTGTCTGTATGTGTGTAAGAGAGAGAGAGAGAGCACATACATCACCCTTTCTCAACCCTCCAGAACTATAATTCTGCAGATACCCTGAGAATCTACAACCTATCTGAAGGCATCACTTTAATGTAGACCAGTGTTTTCCAAACTTGGCAACTTTAAGAAGTGTGGACTTCAACTCCCAGAATTCCCCAGCCTGGCCTCTTCTTGGACTTCAAGTCTATACATCTATACATTTGAAAAACTGCTGCAGACCAACTGAAATAACCCCAGAGATAGAGGGCACCCAGCAGGCAAAGCAGCAAAAGTGAGCAAATTTAAAAGATTCAAACTTCCACTGTACAAGCATTATGATTCCTTTACAAAGAAACTTAGTCCTTGCTCAAAAGCGTTAAGAAAAGTCAAGGACCTGACCCTATATCAATAAACTGCATGTACCCACATGGGTAAATATAATTCAAGCTGATATTTGATGCAGTATTGGAGAACCAGAAAAGGCATTTCTTGAGAGTTTAAATTATTATTGTCTTCATGTCGTTTCCACAGTAAGAAGTCTGATGCCTGAAATTCAAGTAATAGTTCCACCTAGCATGACTATTAAATAAAAGAGTAGATTGCTCAACAGGCTTACCATTTGCTCAGCTAGCAAAATGGAACATCAATAAGGTTCAAATACAGCTCAAAGCTCGAGTTAACAGCAGGGGCAGTCATTCATACTCTTCTATTCTAGCCTAGCCTTTCTTTCTTATGGCCATTTATTCCTAAATCAGGTTATTTGAGGTGGCATGATTTTTTTTTTAAGGAACCAGCTCCTACTTCTGTTTTACAGCCACCCTTCACCATCCTCTCAATTTTTCCTATATTCTAGCAGATGACTGGGATACAAATAAGATTGGAAAAAGCCAGTCTTTCAGCTCAGCCCTCTTTATGTGTATAACAAAGCATATTTATAAATGCACAATGATAATTTCTTTTAGCACAAGTCCTATTTTACATTCCAGAATCCCTTTAAACACTGTATTCTCCTCATACTCAGTTTTCTCCCTCTGTCATTAACTGCAACTTCAAAATAGATCTTTAAAATACCAGACTCAGTACAAATTATAATTTGATTCCAGTTAATTACAAGCCAGCTCTTTGGAACCGGAGCAAACAGCACCCTATAAACAATACATCCAGTGTACTGAGTAACAGCTGCTCAACATACATAGTAACTATCAGCAATTAGGGACATTCTCATCCATCATCAGTTTTCACCAAAATTGTCTCTAGATTATCTTGTCAGATACTGAATGGACCACCTCAAAGCATCTGCCCTTAAACTACTATCAAGAAAAGATGAAATAGAAAATAAGGGTGTTCTACTGAGGTCACCCTAGAGATTAAATTGAGGAGAGGGAGTTAAAGGACATTGCATTTTTCGTTTTGCTCATTCTTTCCACTGAGGGAAAACTGTTCCTGTGGGGTGGAATAAATATTTACCTACTGAACTGATATATTTATAGTAGAAGACTCAAACAAATTCAGCCAAAGCAGCGCCTCTCCATTATTTAAATGCTAGTGTCCATATTTTTAGGTAAAATAATTATCTCTATTAAATACACTATCATTTCAGGTATGTTAATCTGAAGAAACGTAAGGGCTCAGAAAGAGTTCACATATGTTTTTAAAATAACTAATATGCTAACATTTCTGGGTTTCTTCCCCCTGTATACATTTGCAAAAACCATCCTATTTTCCCTTCCGCTCAGCTTTAACACCACATTCTCCAAGCTTTATACTAAAGAGAAACCCAGTTGTTTTTGGCTTTATAACATAGTGACACAGACCCACACATACATGTGTAATTCCTAAATGCATCACCCAAGATATGTCTCAATTCAGTGGAATTATTTCCCCCAATAAAAAACTTTACAAAGTAGCATAAATCCTCCTGGTTTTTGACAGACCTCAACCCTAAAGCTCTTTGCAGAGAAAATAGGAATCAGTTCTTTGTATGCTTCATTGGATTTGTTTCTAAGTCAAGAACCTTTTTCAGGACATAAGGTAAACAATTACAGGATGAAATTATAGTCGGTGGATCACAAATTCACTCCAGTTGTTTCAGAATTAAGTCCCCGTAAGTTCAAAGTTTTTCCTCTCCAGAGGTAAAAAAAATGTGCATTTGGACTGCAGCTGAAAACAGCAGAAGCTGGTTGAGGTCAGTGGATCAACTCAAATGAAAAGCCTAGTAGTGACAGTCTGAGCACTACCAAATCCAGGCAATTGCAGCATATCAGCCAAGAAGTACAGAAAACTCTTTGTGGCCACCTAGTGGTCATCTGGATTTTTGCAGCCCAGCTTAACCTGGAATATGCTGTTTTGCAAAACAAGATCAAATAAAATGCACCCTAATAATCAGGGCCTCATTTCTAGTCTGGTTCCCTTGAAGGAAAGGAAAAAAATAGCAGTATTAATGCTCCTGGCATTTTTCCTATCCTTTACTGGGGCAATTCCTGCCCTTTAGCTACACAACACAAATCAGGCCCTTCATTGTCTGCTTTGAACATTATCTTTAAGAAGTTGGGATTTTCACAACCGCCATGACACTATTTCTCACTACTTGACCTACAAAACTTTGTTTTAAAAATTACCAGACCTACAAGTCAGTGGTCACAGTGCTGGATTAACCTGGGTTAATCTGGATATCAGAAGAATGTTATTCACTTTCCTCTAAAAAATAATAAACCTTACATGGCTATTAAGTAGTAAGGATGTAATAGCTTAGAGGTCAAAGGAGCACATCTTTGATACAGAATAAAATGCCGGCAGCATCGAGTCAGGCCGAAGCAGACCTCCAAGCACACACACCCCAGACCTCCAAAACGGCCCCCGTAATCCGTCCAAGACGAGCCGGGTGGTTTTACATTCAGAAAAGGGAAAGTTTCACCGCCTGCTTTTCCAACTCTGCTTCGAAGTCTCTTACGCGCGCTTACCTGCCAAGGAACCGCGTGGAACTTCTCAATCAAGTCGGAGCAGGGTCGGGCTTCGGAGGCGAAGCTCTCCCGCCGCCGCGGTTTCTCCGCTTTGGGAGACAACCCCTCGGCGCCGTCCAGCGCTTCCCCGCGGTCCTCCCCACGCGCGCAGCCGTCCATCGCGCCCCCGTTCCCGGATCCCAGAAACCCTAGGCGCGCGCGCTCCCTCCTTTCCCCCCATCTTCCTCGCCCGGTTCAAGAGCTGCGGGCAGCGTAGCCTCCGCAGTACCCGGTCACAAGGAGCCGCGGCTGCAGCGCCACGTCCTGCGGAGCTTTCCCGAACCGGGAAAGAAAGAAGTGGGAAGCACTTTCTCCCTTTCCCTTTCATCTCTCCGCCACGCCGCTCTCGCTCTCTCCCCCTCTCTCTGGCTGTCCGCAAAGCTGTGCTCAAAAGTCCGGGGCGCCGCTGAAAGAATCCAGAATGCAGACGAGGAATAAGAATGGGGAGAGAAGTAGGAACGGGGGGGGGAGAGATGGGGCCCGGGAAACTCAGGTAAAAACTTTACTGATCGGGGGAGGAAGGCGGCGCCTCCCGTTCCCTCCTTGGAACCGGGTTTGGAATGAAGCATCCCGCAAGAAGCGGCGCACCAAACAGGACGCGCGTTTTTCTCCTTGCGTTCTCACGAGCCGAGCCGAGGTGCGCTTACCTGCGTGGCAAAGTCCCAGGTTGCCAACGGCCACCAAAAGCAGGGCGATCACCCCGGGGCCAGACGCTCCTCGGCTCCAGGCAGAAGGCATCGCGCCCGGCTAAGGCGGTGGTGATGGTGCCGGCGGCGGCGACGACGGCGCCTCCCTCGCTCTTCCTCTCGCTGGTCTCCAGAGACGCCCTCCTCTCCGAAGGAGGCTCCAGCCTCCCCACGCGAAGCCCCCCTGCGCCTCTTCGTCTCCCTCCTCCTCCTCCTCCTCCTCCTCCAGCAACCCTGCAACTTTTAAGGCAGAAAGGCAGCGGGGGGCGAGTTAGGACAGGGGGTCCCTCCGCCGCCGGATCTCCCCCTTGGCGCCAGGCTGCGGTGCTCCTCACTCAGCCAACTTGGGACCACAGCAAAGCCGGCGGATCAGAGAGGTAGGCGCGGCTGCTGGGCTGCTTGCATCCCTGCAGGCTCCTCCTGGTTCGCCGGACCGCCGCGGCTCTTGTCAGCGAGCCACTTCTTGCCTCCGATCGCCAGCCAGCCTCCTTCCACACTGCCAAGGTGTCCCGCACGCAGAGGAGCCCAGGAGCGAGAGGAACTGGAACGGGGCTCCGTTGGGGAGGCCAGAGACTGGCGGAGCAAAGGAGCCGACGGAGAGAAGGGGGGGGGGACGCGAGGGAGTTCGCGACGTCCCACACACTTACAGGCCAGGCAGGGCTGGGCGGAAAACGTGGCGGCGCAGCCCGCTTCCCAACTCTCGGAGCTGGAGTCTCTCGCCACGCTGGCTTGACGATAATCAAGCAGCCCGACCACCCGTTGCCGCCTTTCCTGCGAATCGCTTCCCCACGCTTGGACGCCGCCCTAGTGCGTCGTAGCTTATAAGAAATTGGGCCCAATAGACGGCAAATCCAATAAGTATTTTGGCCTCTCTCTCTCCCCACCCCTCTCTCTTTCCCCAAAGCACGAATAGAATAGAGCTGGAAGGAACCTTAGGGGTCTTATTATCGTTGTGCTTTGGAACATTTCTTAGAACAGAGTTTGGATATTTAATTTTCAATTATATTGGGGGGGTCTGTGTGTGAAAGGGGGGGGGCTGATATTTTTAAATTTCTATGGAATAGCATATTTTTCTTGGATAAAGTCTTGGAGAAATTTTTAGTTACTTTTTTAAAAAAAATATTCTGCATCACTAAAATGGAACAGTATTAAAACTAAAATGGAACAATATCATTAATATTCCATTTCTTTGTACACAATATCATTAATATTCCATTTCTTTGTAAAACAATGATCTTCACAAATTTTCCAAGCAGAAGCAATGTACTGTACAGAAATGTCATTTTGTCTAGAGCACCTGGAAAGAATGTCCAGGAGAAAAACATCTGTGATTTGTGGGCTGTGCTTAAGGAGAACTTCTGAGCCATGGTCATTTCTACAGGTCTTTGCATTAAGTGGAGGCTCTAGGACAGTGATGGCAAACCTTTTAGAGACCGAGTGCCCAAACTGCAACCCAAAACCCACTTATGCATCATTGGGTGCCGGGTGGGTGTGGCCCATTGGCTGGGTGTGGCTCATTGGGTGGGCATGGCTACAGTGGTAACAGCAGACTGAGTGGGACTAAAAGGTTCAATCAATTCCAACTTTGCAAGATCTTTTTTTTTCCTGGGAGAAGTTGAAATTGACTGATTGAACCTTTTTTTTTTTTTTTTGCACACGGCGACGGAGGCCTAAAGCAAAAAGATTTTATAAAACCCAGATGAAGGCCTAGGACTGGGGCGACAGCGCGCGTGCCCACAGAGAGCGCTCTGAGTGTCGCCTCTGGCACCCATGCCATAGGTTCGCCATCACTGCTCAAGGACTAAGTACTTGCTAGGAGGACCGGTGCTTCCTTTAATCCAATTAGGTTCTAATAAGTTTATTAAACCCATATGCCCTGATCCTATGCTTGTCTATGGACAGCTGCTCCTTTTTTTGTAGGCACATGCCAGCAATCTCAAATTAGGATTTGCTGATATTTATCTGCAATTTATTGATTTATTGCCAAAGCGAAATGAAGAATCAAATGGACTTTAAACAATACTTATTGAGCAAATTTTATTTTTATATGCATTGAATTAGCTTTCTCCCTGACTTCAGGGGAGCAAAAACAATCAGAAATCAGATAGAATTTATGATTCTGGCTTCCATAGACCAACATGATTATTCTCCTACAATGACTTACAGAACAACACAGAACACTTCTACTAAGATCTGCAGTGGAGAAAGGATGAAATGGAAATGAGTTATGACAAACATGTCAAACTTGTGATGTCACGTGATGTTATGCAACGTATTGGAACTTTTTCCCTATTGCTGGCAATGAGGTGGGCGCGGTTTCTTCGTGATGCATCCAGCCCGTGGGCCGGCAGTTTGACACCCCTGAGTTATGAGCTTCCTTCCTAAAATCAGAACCACAGACATATTTGCAATTATTGTGAAGAATTACAGCCTGTTCCAGAGCTGTGTGTTGCCCAGCTCTTGAGGAGACATTGTCTATGCCAGGGGTAGGTAACCTCGGCTCTTTTATGACTCGTGGACTTCAACTCCCAGAATTCCCGAGTCAGCATAGCTGACTCAGGAATTCTGGGAGCTGAAGTCCACGAGTCATAAAAGAGCCAAGGTTGCCTACCCCTGGTCTATGCCTATACATTTGGCCACATCTATTGCGCCTTTTAAGTGAGATGCTGATGAGCAGAAGAAGGAAAAAAGTTCCTTTGATGTTTTTTTTCCACCTCCAGAGGAGACCATCCACTTCAGGTCAGCACCTGAAGTATAAACTTTCAAGATGACAACATTGGAGAAATGCAAGTATTGCTGATCTCTGAATTTTAATTTAAAAGAGTTGAGAAAGTGCTTCCATTGGGTACAGGAGAGTTTTTTCATTTCATTAAAGTAGCACGCAGCTGTTAAAGATGTTAAGCTTGTCAGCTGGAAAGCTGAGAGCCAGGGTTCAAGTCCTGAGCACTGTGCAATGGGGTGAGCTTCTATTATTTGTTCCAGCTCCTGCCCATCTAGCAGTTCAAAAGCATGCAAATGTGAGTAAATAAATAGGTATCACTTCGGTGGGATGGTAACTGTTCTGTGCGCCTCAGCATATAGTTATGCTGGCCACATGATCGGAAAAAAAAAAAAAACCTCTTTGGACAACCCTCCTTCCCTTGGCTAAGAAATGGAGATAAGCACTGCCCCCTAGAGTTGGACATGATTGGATGGGGAAAACCCTTATAATTACCTTCAAGTACCACATTTAGATCATCCTAGAACAGGGGTAGGTAACCTTAGCTCTTTTATGACTTGTGGACTTCAACTCCCAGAATTCCTGAGCCAGCATGGCTCAGCTTGGAAATCTCTCCCTTTCCCCTCAGCATGGCTGGCTCAGGAATTCTGGGAGTTGAGGTCCACGAGTCATAAAAGAGCCAAGGTTGCCTACCCCTGTCCTAGAACAAACAATCAGAAAGCTGCTTTTGTGTTGATCAAGGTAAAGGTTATGGAGAGTTAAATTTAATTCCTGGTGATTATTTCCCTATGTTCATCAGTAAGGTGACCAATTGTCCTCCTTTAGGGAGGACAGTCCTTCTTTTGTACTCATTTAAATAATAATTAATAGACATGTAAGCATAATTACAATATAAAATGTTATTGTTACAAATGTTTTTATTATGCATTTATCCTATTATAGTGTATTCTGTATTGTTGCAATGAATAAAATGTTTTATTTATGATATTTTTTTCTTCAATTTATTTGTGTCCTCCTTCTCATTGTAAAAAAGTTGGTCACCTTATCATCAGTCCTACAGAAATGGCATACCCTTATTTTTCAGACTGTATTGTTCTGCTAAGGCAGGGGTATAAAACTTGCAACATCATGTGACGTGTCGCGACGTATCACAACTTTTTTTCCATTGCCGGCAATGGGGTGGGCATGGTTTTAGCATAACGCATCCAACCCGCAGGCTGGCAGTTTGACACCTCTATACTAAGTTATGCACAAAGATGAGGAATAAGAAATATTATGTCTGCCCTCTTGAGCTTCTAGGGACAAGGAGTATTAAACATCTAGCAGGTGTTGTAAGGGATGTTGGAAGCTGTAGTTCAGAAAGAGTAGAAAGGCCAAAAATTTGCCACTCTTTAAGCTGTGTGAGGCAGCAGCCTTGATTGAAAAATGCTGGGCTTGGCGGTAGCAGCTACTGTCTCTGAGATATTTCTTCTGCTTCTCTTCTTAGAGAGGAGGACAGACTGTCTCTTGTAACCTGTAGATTAGCCTCAGAAATGTTATCAGACAGGGAACATTATCCCAGCACTGAAACAGCCCAACACTAAAGGGAGATTCAGTTGCCAACCTAATTTGGCTTTGGAAGTGTGGGTGGAGGGAACAAACCGTCAGCATCTGCCTTGGGCGGAATTCAGTGGTGGGGAAGGCTTCGTTGCTGCATTTGTAAAAGCTTTCCTTTTTTCACCATCCTTTGAAGAAGAATTTTTGTGTCTTTGGCTTCAACTGATGCAAACTATTATTGTTTTGTCCTTCTGCTTTGATCAAGGAGATGCGTCTGACACTTCAATAGAAAATAGGCTGGTCCTAAAAATATGCACATGAAATAAAAATAGGTGCCACTTAGCTTAAATGTGTACCCTTTGGTTGCAACATGATACCGAGTAACCAGGAAATAAGCCCTTTTGAATCTGGGTCTTCTTTCTGAGAAGAAACTGCCTCAAAATCTCATGATTTTCAGCTATTCATGGAGTCCCTCTGTGAGGGAGATGGGCAGTTCCTAAACATGCTAAATACATAAAAATATTCTTATTTATATTTGGACTCCATTGCATCTGAATTCTATTCAAGTTCTCCATTTCTCTGAATGGGTGCGATCCCGCTGTGAGACCTCAGCAACAACTAGCACACAGCTGCTGCTGCTCAAAAACTTACTCTATGCAATCCTGGATGTTCTGTCCAGCTGAGTAGTAAATTGGATGAGCCATGAGGTGATTTGATTCTTAGATTGAAAGTTATTGCTCTTCCTATAGAGCAGGTGTCTTCAAACTTGGCCCTTTTATGACTTGTGGACTTCAACTCCCAGAATTCCTCAGCCAGCATGCCTGGCTGAGGAATTCTGGGAATTGAAGTCCACAAGTTATAAAAGGGCCAAGTTTGAAGATCCCTGCTATACAGCAACTTTTAGCTGTTTCTCCAGCATACCCAACAGGAAGTCACTGCTAGCCAGAAAAAAAAGTCCAATTGTCTGAAGAGTTGATTCAATTGCTGAATGTTCAAAGAAGAATGTGTCACCACAATCATAATATCTTGGTCCTTGACAGTTACAGTTTGTGCGGTAATATTGCAATGGAGAACCATGACATACCTGCTATTCAGAACAGCTTATCTAAATCAGTCTAGGGATGCATTTGGGAACTCAAGGGAGGCTTATTGTTATGGAAAGCTATCATCTTAAACAAGGAAAAAAGTTCTCTGAATTGTATGGGCTATTACTTCCTAATATAGAACATAGAACCATAGAGTTGGAAAGGATCTTAGAGGTCTTGTAGTCCAACCCTCTGCTCAAGGCAGGAGACCTTATACACCAGGAGTCTTCAAGGCTGAGGAACTCTTGGAGTTGAAGTCCACAAGTCTTAAAGTTGCCAAGCTTGAAGACCCCTGCCTTATACCATCCCAGTGAAATGGTTATCTAATCTATTTTTAAAAACCTCCAGTGACAGATCACCCCAAATTCTGGGAGGCAAGCTTAAACAATTAATTGTTCTCATTGTGAAAAAAATTATCCTTACTTCTAGGTTGGACCTTTGATGAGTTTCCAACCATTACTTCTTGTCTGGCCCCCAGGTACTTTGGAGAACAGGTTGACCTCCTTTTCTCTGTAACAGCTTCTTA